GTAAAGCCCTGTTTTATTCTTTGGTTTTTACATGCTGGTGATTGCGCACTATCGGGAGCAAAGTGTATGTGAAATGAAGATCAGCGTTAGTTGCGGGCTTTGTTTCCTTGGTGATAGGCTGTTACTATCACACTTAAAATAACTACTAAATCAGAATAGTTTTGAACTTCAGATGTGCGCTGCCTCGCAGAAAAAGTCATTGGTGGGTCTGGACAGCACGCAGACGGATGGTGTCAATGCAGTCGCCTCCCTAGAGGAGATAATTGATTTTCTGAAGGAAATTGCTGAGAATGATGACGATGTATCTATATTTGTGGCTTGTTAACAGTATTTTCTGAGGGGAGGTAGTCCAGGGCTCACCATGGAAGGGAGAATTTGAGTATGTTAAGGTTGATGAGTGCGCTCAGAACTGGTTTGCGGTGGCGTCTATAATCGAACACACGTTGACAACACTAAAGGCTTTTAAGCCAAATCTCAGCCAAGTGTACTTGAGATCAGACAACGCCGGTTGTTACCACTGCGGTTATCTTCTGCTTTCGTTCCTTAGCATCGGTGACCGCACTGGTGTCAAGATCACGCGCTACGACTTTAGCGAACCACAAGCAGGCAAAGACATCTGCAACCGTCGGGTCGCTGGCCTCAAAAGTCACATGCGCCGCTTTCTAAATGAAGGTAATGATATCAAAACAGCCAGCGACATGAAAACCGCCTTCGAATCGTACGGTGGAGTCAAGGGCTGCTATGCAGCAGTGTGTCAAGTTCAGCCATCCGCCCAAACAATGACCAAACATACCATGACAGGCGTACAGGCATTGAATAATTTCTCGTACGAGAATAGAGGCTTGAGAATGTGGCGTGCTTATGGTATTGGACCTGGAAAGTTCTATAGTGCAGACCAGCTGGCACGGTTTGGAACACCCCAAGGCCCCATTAGGCTCGTCACAACGGAAACGTTCAGCAACCCAAACATAGAAGTAGATAGTTATCTACAACGTACGCAGATGTCTGATCCTGGGTCATCGCTACAACTACCCAATCTGTCACAGACAGAAGAAGAAAGCGAGAAATTATCTTGTCAGGAAGAAGGATGCATCAAGGTTTTTCAGTCGTTCGCTGCCCTCCAAAAGCACCTTAACAGGGGAGGAAACTGGTAAGAAGGCAACTGCCTCTGATGTGGCCCCCAAAATGAAGAGTTCAAGAGACGACCGGCCAGAAAATGTTCTCTAAGACCGACTGGTTGACAGAGCAGCAGATCGCTCGATATTTCAGCCGGGTTTCTGCCCTGACTAGAACAGGTCTATTGCAGAGGTCCCCCTCTGTAAGTATGACTGAGGACGAGAGGCTGATGCAGACGAGTTAGCTTTAGAATTCAACGCTGACCGTACAAGGCAGAAATAAGGAGGGACCTTGAACTTTAAATTATTCATTTCCGAGGGGTGCGGTAGTCAACTTGTAATCCCGTCGAAGGTTAGAAAGGCCAATTTTTGCCGTATTTCATTTGTTAGCTTCCGGAGGTAAATTTTAATTAATTACGCATCGTAGTTCGTTGTTTGATTTGCAAGCAAAAAGAGCTCAGCTGGTAATGAAAATTTATAACCATTTCTTAGTTGACAGTTTTCCCTCTTCAAATACCCGTAAATTCCCTATCTAATTCAGTTTTCTTAACTTTTTGGCATATGTGAAGTCGCAAAATTTAAACGAAGACAGC